CTCAGGGATGAGTTTCCACTTCCTTACCCTCTCCAATAGATGTTGCTAGTGTCCTTACTAACACACCACTCGCTATCTAGCTCTGATACCATTTGTAACAATCCTAACCCACTACTATTAGATAATATACATTTTAATCAATTATTTAAAATTCTAGATTAATTAGTTAAGATAAATATTTTTATTGATAAAATATTAAAAGTTTAAATCTCTCTGATTTTTTTTTTTTTGATAGATACCTAAATTTATAATTTTAGAGAATCCGTGAAATTTATAAAATATTAATCTCTAATTTAACCTAAAAGAAATTAAGTTGATTTAATAATAAAATTAATGGGAAAAATCAGAATTAAAAATAAGTATGCAAATTACGAAATTAAGAGGGACAAATTTGCAAATTTCAATATTCATGGACAAACAATTAAAGCAAGGCAGCATAATGTGAAGGCTTTGGCATCGAATCTTTGAAAAAGTAATTGAAAACATTATCTTTTTAGAATATTTATCAAATTGTCTCCCTTTTTCGGCATCCAAACCTCAGCTCAATTTCCGATTCGTAAATTTAAAAGAATTATTAATTTTTTGTGCTTTAAAATTGATTCTAAAATTAAATATATCTTATTATTTCCTATAAAATGTCTAGTTAATTATTGACTTATTATTATTTTAGTTTGACCGATAAAATATTATCATATTTTTTATTATTTTTGTCTGACCATTATATTAAATCTCTAAATTAAAAAAAAAAATATACACTACTCCCTTAACTTCACATTTCACATAGTACACTTAGTTAGATACAATCTTTATCATTTAATTAATTTAATTAACATGAAGTTAAGGTCACAACATCCCGATCATTTTTAAAAGATTTATTTCTCGACTTCTTTTATTTATATATAATTATACATATAATTTATTGCATTTAATTTTCTTTTTTTAACAAAACATAAAAGTTAAACTATGTTTGGATTATGTTATTATTCTAACGACATAGTTAAGGTAAATGGTATGAAAAATGTTTTTATCAATAGATTATATGCTTGAAAATGGTAAGACCAGGTCAAATTAATTCAAATTTTTTTTTGGTTCGTTAATTAACCACTAACGATAAGAATTAAAATAAAAGATGAAGAAGAGAGAGACAGAGATATGGAGCAGAAAGAGAGAGGAAGAAGAGAAGGAAAGAGGGAAAGAGAACGGCGGCTAATTAACCATTACGCGCCGCGAAATTAGAAGTTTCTGTCAAAGTCAACCGTCATCTCATACGGAGTGGATTGGGCCCTACAAATACAATTCTACTTCAAACTTTATATTGCCATTTCTCTCTTTTTCATTATTATTATTATTTCTAAATTCAACTGGACATATATTGTTTTATTACGTATGGTGGTGAGTTTCACAGTTTTAAAATGTATTTAAGGAGAGATTTTTACACTCTTATAAAAAATGTTTCGTTCTCCCTTTTAACCGATGTGAAATTCTTCTAATCGAAGTGGGATCTCACAATCCACTCCCATATGAGTCCAATTGGCACACAACCTGATATTTAGCTCTAATACAATTTGCACCATTTCTATTAATATGAAATATTTGAATTTTTTTTTAATATTAATATAAAGGCGTTCTTATCATCAATTTATATTTAAGGAAAATATAATTCTCTCAATAACCCTAAATCTAAATTTACATGGTTACAAATTTTTACATTATTTTATGTTTTATGTTATTTTTAATGTTAAAAAAAAAAAATTAAAGTTGAAGAATAAAGAGGGGACTTGAAAGTCGCTCCAAATTTTAATTATATTTTTTGTTGAATTTAATAAATAATAACGAATCTAGGAGTGGAAGGAGGAAAACTTCACGAGGGTGGAAATAACAAAGTGCCAGTCCTTGTACACGTTTGACCAATCAAAACGGCGGAGACCAACGCGCTAAACTCGCCCAGAGGTTAAATGACCATAATACCCTCAAAGAATAATTAGAAACCCTTCCAAAATCCAATTTTATTTAGGCGCCTTCCTTTCTTTAACAATGGTTGAAATGCTTGATGTTGAGTCGTGAGCCTCAAGCAAGTGGAATTCCCCCATCCTCCTCTGTATAAATAAACGGCCGTATACAAACCGAGTCGAAGAAAGAGAAAAAGAAAGAGAGAGAAAGAGCACTGATGGATGATGCAATTGATAGGAAGAAGACGAAGACGACGAAGAAGACGAAGAAGAGGAGAGCATTCAGCATCCAGAGGCTAAGAGATTCGTGGAAGTGGAAATTCCTTAAGGATTTCAAGTGGAAGAGATTGAATCTCCACATCGGTTTCTTAGATGCTATAATCTTTCGAATCGCTTCTCTGTTTGAGGCCATTGCGTTGGTAGGCATCGCCGGTTTCTTCTTCCTCTGTTGTGGCGGTTGCCGCTTCTGATCGATTCTGCCAGCTCAATCGGTCAATTTCTATGTTCTTCATCCTAACTTCGTAATTAACCGAATTCTGTATGTATTTGTTGTACAAGTTTCCTTCCTCTTCAGTTATTTTTTTTTTTCCAGTCGTTCTTAATTTGTTCATTAATTTGTTGTCTCTGGCCAAGCACTGCAACACAAAATGTAGATCGGTTTTCGAATCTCTCTTCTCTATTTGAATCGTTTTCTCTGTGGCTTCGATCTGACGAACTCGTTAATCTAGCAAATTCAATTCATTATAAAATTATATTGAAGAAGTTTGTTGGTATGGTAGAACTAAGAAGAATTCATCTGCAAACAAAGGTGCGGACGAATTTAGATTTTGCTTGGAGAATTAATATCATTTTCATGCGAGTGGAGAAATGAATAACTTAGGTCAGAATCTTACTGGAAACAAACTGGCCATCGACGGCGAAGAAGGAAGAGTGACAATCGTGGAAGGATTGAATAATCCTCTTCCAACTGTCTTGAATTATTCGAACATTAGAGCCTTTCACGTTTGTATCTTCTCTGGCAACATTCACTTCTCTTAATTAATTAAAGAATTGAAGAAGGATCGATTTATTCAAAGTCATAACTCTTATTTGGTTTAAATTAATGCTCCAAAGTTCACTCCTTAAAGTTTGACCAGCAATAAAGAATAACTTGCATTATAAGTTCATCTCAATTTGCAATATAATTTTTAATTTCCAAGTACTCATCATTTCTCTATGGCTCTAATTTGTTAAATCAAATACTCAAAATAGTGCATACCTACCAGTACTCTCGCAAAGGCCTAAGTCGGTAATTGACTAAGATTTATTCTTATGTGGGAAGTGCAATAAGCAATTAGGTAGGACTTTTATGTTTGATTAATCCACCACACCTAAATTGTGAAAGTTATCTTATTTATAATCAAATAAATTACAAAGATATGGAAATAGTAATAAATGGAAAGATATCTATGATAATAAGGCAAATATCTAATATTTGCCTTATAATAAAATATCAAATATAATATATATCGTAAACTATAATTTATTACTAAATATCCTTAACACCCCACCGCAAGCTAAGCGTCAGATTAAACGAACGTGAAGCTTGAATCTGAAAAATTCAAAGAGGTTGAGAAACACTTTTCATGAAGATGCTAACAACCCGGTTCTTGGCCATCAAAAATTGCAGAGGGATCGCCGCTCAGCGGAGATGCTGCCTTGGCTTCGGCGAGAATATGTCTAACCCATGAAGAGGGATTGTCGCTTAGCGACGATGCTGCCTTGGCTCTGGTGAGAATATTTCTAATCCCAAGAAGTAGAAGGGGAAACCTAGAGCAAGCGACAAAGACAATGTTGAAGCCGGAAGAGTCGCCACATTGGGCGAAAGAGCCAATTTTGGTGAGAAGGGCAGTCGAAAGAGTCGCCTCATCGGGCGAAGAAGCCAATTTTGGTAGGAAGGGCGGCGACAACTTGGTTGGCGAATAGGCCAGTGCGGCACCTAGATTCCGAAGGTAAATCTCTGCAAAAGGTTGATAGGTTTAGGTTAGGGTTTATGTGAAGGATGAAGGTTGATTGGGAAGAAAATGAGAGAGACTATATTGGCCAAGGGAAAAATCGATTGGGTTGGAAAAGGTGAGGTTGTATGTACAGAGTATGACGAAAGGTGATTTGGAGGTCAATAGGGTGGAGCCGAAGAGTAATCAATCGGCTCCGACTACGGCAGCCATGAAGACTGCCCCTGCGGCGTCAAAACTAGCAAAGGTGGTGGAGAAGAAGATTAGAGGATTCAAAAGCCATTGAAAAGAAAGAAGGAGGGTTGTTAAACCGAAAGGACTCTGATACCATGTGAATGTTTGATTAATCCACCACACCTAAATGGTGTGAAAGTTATTTTATTTATAATCAAATAAATTATAAGGATATGGAAATAGTAATAAATGGAAAGATATTTATGATAATAAGGCAAATATTAGATATTTGTCTTATAATAAAATATCAAATATAATATATATGGTAAACTATAGTTTATTACTAAATATCCTTAACAGGCTGCTGGAGTGAAATCATATTCCCCTCAAGTTTGGAGTTCCTCCTAGCTGTTCGAGTTGCCAACTTGCAGACTCTTTTTGTTGTCATAGTTCTAGGCTCATTAGACCCTCTTTTTGAAGCCAATACCTTGGGAATGGACACAAGAATCCTAGAAGTAGTTAAAAAATTGAACTTTTGTAATAACTCAAGTCAGACCCGATTAGTAGATATTGTTTGTTTTGACTCATCATTTATCAACTTTAGCCTCACGGTTTTAAAATGCATATTTAGAGGAGAAGTTTTTACACCCTTATAAAGATTATTTAATTCTCATTTACAATAGATTTGAGATGTTACAATGCACCTTTTTTAAATGAGATCTCACAAATACACTCAATTAGATCACTCAAATCTTCACTCCAACAGTTTGAACTTAAAAATAATGACAAAAAAAAAAAAAAAAAAAAAAAAAAAATTTGAGGGTAAATCTAATTTAACCGTGACAATAAAATACTGTGCATTTTTCGAACTTCGATACATAAATATCTTCTTTTTTTCGGAGCAGGTTGAGAAGTAGAAGATAACTGCCGAAGCCACCGTTTTCTTATCCCTTCCCGCCCGCTTCTTCTTCTTCATCATCTTCAACCTCGCCTCCAAAAACCCTTCTACAGAGAAGAGATGCAGACCTCAATCTTCTCCCCATCGTCATCTTCTTCACTTGCCATTTTGAAGCTCAACCAAAACCCTCTTCTGGGCCATATCGTTTCTACGCCGCGTTTGCCCCTTAAAAGAAGGCCCACTTCGACCACTCGCGCACTTCTCTCAGCCCACCGACAATCAGTTCTCAAGGATTTTCAGGAGAGACGAGCTCTGAAGGTAAACCTATTTGAGGATTCTGCAATTGAAATTGGAATTTCAGAAAGATTAACTTTAATTTGGGTATTTCTAGACCTTGAAAAGGCTGCTTCTGGTATATTCATGTAGCTCTATTTTGAGTTTGATTACCTCCTTCTCTGTCTAAATCTGTTATGCCATTGCGCTGTATGTATTTCAGATTATTTCAGGTCTGCAGAACCTTGACAGGGAAAATGTGGCTTCAGTAGTCACTGCAGCAGACCAGGTGCGTTATTTGGCCTAATAGTCATTTGATTGTTTTCTATGTTTGTCTGAAATCTCTTATTGTCTGGGAGTGGAACGAATTATTCTTCTTTATAAGGATATAAAAACCTCTCCTTACAGATATATTTTAAAACTAGGAGGCTAATGACTATAGGGAAAAGCGAACAATATCTGGTAAAAAAACGAACCATATCTGGTAAAAAAAAAATGCATGGTTTTCAAAATAATAATAATAATAAGCTAGAAGCCTAAATGGTTATCCAACAAAGCCAAACTCTCATGTAAAATGGTACATTAGGAATAATTGAGTGAAATCCACTTTAAAGGTGTAACAATTTAAGTGCTGGGATTGATGGTAATTTAATACATCATTCAACTATAATACATTTTATCATCAGATATGGAAGTTATTACTTCAATTTCAAGCTAATGACAATGTGTTTCTTCACCATGTTACTGTAATTTCGTTTCTAGGGGGGAGCGACTCATGTCGATATAGCTTGTGATGCAGAGTTAGTGAAGCTTGCCATTAGTTTAACTTCTCTTCCAGTAAGTTCATATTCTGCAAAACTTGTCTCATTCTTCTGAAAACAGCTACTCATCCTATTCCTATGTTTGCATGTTATTACAGGTTTGTGTTTCTTCTGTGGATCCAGCAGAATTCTTACCTGCCGTTGAAGCTGGAGCATTAATGGTTTGACCGCCAATCAGTTGCTTTTATACATACTTCATTTTAAAGAAGAATTTTCCCCAATCTGATTGAAAATTGCAGGTGGAAATTGGAAACTATGATTCATTCTATGAGGCAGGAATAGTTTTCTCTGCAGATCAGGTACAAGTCTTTATGATAGCATTATGAACATGTTCAATGTTCATATTTGAATTGAAGCATCAAGAAGCTAATTCTGCGTTTAATCGAGACGATTTCCAAGCATGAAAATCTCCAATCGTTTGATGGCTAAGAGGCTAATACTACATTCTTAATTTTGTATGATGTTTCTGTGATGTAGATATTGAATCTAACAAAAGAGACTAGGAGGTTACTGCCGTCTGTGGTCTTATCAGTCACTGTGCCCCACACACTTGGACTTCCTGATCAGGTTAGAGCAGGGGCTTAATGCAAGTTAGGGAAATTTGTCACCATTCTTGTTGTAGTTGTACTAACTTAAGTTTTGAGATATAAACAGGTCAAGCTGGCAGAGTTTCTGGAACAAGAAGGTGCTGATATTATACAAACTGAAGGAGGAAAATGCTCTCATCCTTCAAAATCTGGCGTGCTTGGCTTGATCGAGAAGGTGCGGAGTAGAAATATTGGTCGAGTCATACGAGATTTATCATACAGAGCCTAAATTCACCTTGTTTGAAGACAAATTTGTGGCGAATTTCTCATTGATGTAAATATTGTAACTTGCCTTTATTTGATTTTGATAATTACAGGCAGCACCCACACTAGCAGCAGCATATTCGATCTCGAGGGCTGTTAAGATTCCTGTCATGTGTTCGTCCGGGTTAAGTGCTGTCACGGCGCCAATGGCTATCACGGCTGGAGCTGCAGGCGTGGTATGCCACTTGTTCCTGACCTCTCCGTGTATAGTCTACTCAGTTTGCAATTCTGGGTCTGAGTTAATGTTTCTGTCAAGAGTATAGTAATGGACTGAAGTATTTTGATATCTTTGTCTAACACAGGGTGTAGGATCGGCAGTTAACAAGCTCAATGATGTTGTAGCGATGATTGCAGAGGTCAGGAGCATTGCTGATTCCTTAGCACCGTCAGCTGCCCGGCTAAACAGACCCGATGGCGCATTTTTGAATTTGTAGATTTATGGTTCTCTGGTGCATGTGGGAAACGTTTGCCTTCCAAATTAAGATCCTTTTATATGGCTTTCCTCCTATGGTATTAGATACGATAGTTGCATACGATGTTTTAGTTTTGGAAGAACGATAGACCAAATCTGCCATTATTTCCACGTGTTTTAAAGTCGACGACAATATTTCAAGCCGGAAGTTTTTTCGTGTATCAGAGCAAGATAAGAACTCAAACCTTCAAAATCAATCATATTGCTAGATTCCTGTCGAGAAACACATTTGATCCATCTGCACTACAAGCAATTACATTCAGTTAACAATAGAAGCGAGTTCGAACGCTATACATATACGTTGAACTCTTTGATGTATATTGTAAGGCCCTGATCTAAATCTAACCAATTATCTATAAATAAAAAAGCTATTTGCAGCAGAAATTTATACAGAAAATAAATATTAGCAGGTCTAAAAAGACAACAAAAAGGGAACGGGGTAAAGGAAAAACAAAAAACTTGTTGCCCTTACACAAGCTCTTCCTACAGAATACCAGCTATTATTCATCAATCTCCCAATCTTCCTCAGATTCTCGATCTACTCCACTTTCCTGCAATGGGTTGTTAAAAGCTCATTCTCTGTTTTTATCTTCCAAAACATGGAATGATTTTTCTGTTCTATATAAAATCAGCAAAATCAAGGCAGAGCTTACCTTCCTCTTCTTATATTCTGCCATGGCTTTATCAAACTCTGCACGTTTCTCCATGGCAATATCATAATATTGTACTTTTTCCTGATATAAGAAACCAAATACATGGAACTTTTAGGTTGTTCTTGTTTGGAAAAAGAAATTAATAATTTATCTTCTACGATGCCATCAACTTCCATAATGGATATTTCATAAACCGAGTCTCGATTCGAACTAATAACCTATAATAAGACACCCAGATTAGCAGGCAGCTACGTAGCATACACCGATCATAACCGTTCAGTATTGTAATGAATATGTCAACAGAAGTCACATCATAACGTCTAATTTTAGAAGTGTAAACCAGCTGCATGATATATATTTTTTTCTCTTGACAGAGAAACAATAATCAGCTGCATGATTCTGTGACTTTTCTAACACTGATCCCAAACCATCGCTCAATAACCCCCACCCCCAAAAGGAAGAAGGAAAAAAGTAACAACAAAGTAAAAACCCCATATTTGTGCCTATGTCATTGTCATCTGAAGAAAGCTTGAAGGTAAATCAATGAAAACTAAATTGCTAGGATTCATAACAATCTAAGTTTTGCGTAGAGAATAAACTGAAGTTGTAACAGCCCAAGTCCACCGCTAGCAAATATTGTCCTCTTTGGGCTTTCCCTTATGAGCTTCCCCTCAAGGTTTTAAAACGCGTCTGCTAAAGAGAGATTTTCACACCCTTATATGGAATGTTTCGTTCTCTTCTCCAACCAATGTGGACTCACAGAAGTTCTTATCAATCACAAAATTTAGACAAAGTTAAGCATCGACGGAACATTAACCTCATATGTCATTGTTTTCCATTTCTTCCCACATGCCTTGCCAACCTGAGGTATGGAATCAAAAGTATCAAGGTAAGAATAGACTGAGTGAGAAAGGATAAACAGATGGGAGGAAACCCAACAAAGCCAGAGGGACTAGCATTCAACTTTCCCAAACTTACATCGCGCATCGACTTGACATCTGGATTCTGTTCTTGAAATTCCTTGCGGAAGTCATCCCTTGAGAATGAAAATACAATTAAGTTCTGAAAGCTGAAATCCTAAATGGTGCCAAGTTTCATCAAATATGGTACTACAATAAGCGTGCTAAGAAGACTAAAGGAAAACTTTTCTTGCTATCCCAACTGTTGGACTGCATATGCTGAATATGATAACGATGAAGTGAAAAGCAACATTGCACGGCGACACCCAACAAATTAACTACATTTCACGAATCAAGAAGTATGACTAGGACGATTCAATCAATTAAAAATTCAGAAATCAATAGTGTGCACAAGATGACTGTTCTCAACTATAAAAAATAATAAATAAATAAATAATACTTTAGCTCAATAAGTCACTTCAAATATCTATCATAGAAACTTACAGCAGCAGCTACTGATGCAGTTCTACACGTCCATCTCATCTACTCAAGACACTATGGATGTTTCAATTAGATTTTCAAAATTACAAGTTCACAAATAGCATGTAAGTATCGTTTCTTAGCATACATGAGCAGGACGGCCTCAACAGGCTCAAAACCTCACATTGAAGCTGCAATATCAAACCATATCCACCCAAAAATATACATATGAGGCGTGAAAAGTACTCTATTCAGTTCAGACTTAAAGAAGCATTTGGCAGACAACTACAAGAGGATAATCATGATGCTCATAAATACAAAATGAAGAACGAAATGCATTGCGTATAAGCATATGAGCGTTACTCTTACAGATTGCAAGCAGTTCATATTGCAGCCACTTAAAAAGCCAAAAGCCAAAAGCCATACATTCATAACCAAATCAAGTTTGTCATGAAATTTTACGATACCCCTCCATTAACATGTGTGCATTAGAACCATGAAAATGTTTAAGGTTGACTTACGCAATTCAAGTGCTCAACAAAGTAACTTCTTAAATGAGATGACAGTGAGAGAAGGGAACGTACAAAAAGTAAAAGAAAGCAGTAGGTGGCTTCTTCGGCTTATTGACATCAAATTTATCATTTTTCTTCTTCTGATTTGATTTTGGCCTCTTATTTGTCTTCGTACTCTTCTCCGTGTTATTAAATCTGCGACCTTTTGCTGACCTTTTCATCTCTTCGCTTCTTTTTACACATAATCCCGTATCCCTGAAGATTTCCACAAAATTTGTAATGAACAACATACTCAGAAATAGGGGGGAAGGGGAACAAATTATGGACTTTGGTAATCATTTTAACAATCAACGTTCTTTTTATAACTGCATAAACTTCAAAACCCCAACGGAATCGAAATTCACATAACTCATTCCCATAATTAAAGTAGCAACTCAGAGTTCAATTCATCGTAACATCAAGAGAGAAAGGAAACACTTGAAAGAGCTAAAGCAAGCAGTTCTTCTCAGGTATTCTAAACAGTATAAGACGTTCAGTGTACTCATTACGCACTATTACTTTGATTCATGGTTTTTCTTGTTTTTGTAAGCCAAAAGAAAATTCAGAAGGATTGCTCGGAAAACGATGACCGTGAATTTAAAGGAGCAGGGTTTTGGGGCGTAGTATTTACTCTTGTGACGCTTCTTCGAACGCTTCGGAAGAATCATGCGCCGCGGTTGAAGGTGATTTCTGGGGCTTTTTCGCTTTCGCCATGGATGTGCGTGCCGTTCTGCTCGGTCTTCACTTTGGTAAGCTCCGGCTCGGCCCGAACTCGATTTTCCTGAGTAAGTTCTGAACCGGTTTGGAGTTCTCCAAAGCCAATAGAATCTTGTTCGATTGCTCTAGGCCACGTGTGAAGGTTGACCATAAATGAAAAGAAAATCATTTCTTCCTCTTTAATCCCAAAATTTTGGTAGAATTTTTTTTTTCATTTATTTAATTTTGAACATTTAGGCAGCCCATGAGATTGGGCCTAAGGGCCAACATTAATCTGCGGCCTATGAGTTTGGGCCTATGGGTCAACATTAACTTTCGGCCCATGAGTTTTGGACTGGGCCGATATTATTTTTCGGCCCATACATTTGGGCCTATGGACCGACATTAAGTTTCGGCCCGTTGAACTGAACTAGGTTGTATGGGCCGTGTAGGAGCATTCCCGCCTTAAGTAAACAATTTTCGCGCCTAATCTTAACCTCTTTGGCAACGGCCAATGGAAAGCGTTTTGTTACTCTATTCAATGTTCTCTCTCACTCGCCGTCTATTTCCGCCGGTTCGTCGACGAAGAAGCTCAGGAGAGGAAAATCAGGGCCAGCGGAATGGACGTTGGTGAAGAAATTAGGGCAGCTCACAAGCGAGGCTTTCTGGAATTCCTTGAACAGGATGTGCGTTTTCTTTTCCTAAATCCTCACAAGCTTCTTCTTCTGTTGCTTTAACGTCTCCTCACAATGTTTGTTTGTCTTACTGATTTGGATCAGGTTGGGAAAGGAATTTACATGGACGAGATCAAAGCCATGATTAATCATAAGCGACATCGCCTCATAATCAACATTTCTGATCTTCTCTCAATTACATTCTTGTTCGATTGGAAATTTACAGTAATATGGATTCTATATAAAATTCTGAAACTAATAAGGTCTAGTTTTCATGCATGATGTGCTCATGTGATTGCAGAATTTATCTTAACTCAGATATTAAATTGTTTTATTTTAATGAAAATTTTGTTTAGTTGTCTTAAGCTTTAAAACTACAATCACACTGTCCTTTAATTTTGGAATTATCTTCGGTTATATACATGGTGTTGGTTGGTTTAAAATTTTGAAATATCGAATGAAAGAACTTTCTGATTGTATCTCACAATAATTTTGATGTTTGTCTTCTAAATTATTGTGTTCGTTTGATTCGGTGATCACTGGATATAGGTTCTCTTGTTAGACCAAAAGTTGTCAAAAGTGTTCATTTCTGCCCCACAACTAGGAGTTTTACCAGCCGTGAATACCGTGACATTACATCCAACATAGGCTTGCCCACTGGATCTGTGTATCCCACAAGGGTAAATCACATTAATTGTTTTACAAGTAATTATGCTTCAATACTCAAGAAATTGTGCTGAAATAAATTGTTTTCTCAGGATGAAAATGGCAACTTGTTGATTACCGAGTATGGCTTGTGTGGATATAAAGATCATCAAACCTTATCAATGCAAGAAATGCCTGAGAATTCAGCGCCTGGTCAGCTTCCACGAACAGTGGATGTCATAGTTGAAGATGACTTAGCTGACTGTTGCAAGCCAGGTGATCGTGTTGCTATTGTAGGAATGTATAAAGCTCTTCCAGGAAAAACCAAGGGCAGCTTGAACGGAGTGTTCAGGTAGCTCGCAGGATTGTTGTCTAAGAACATTACTATATATCTTGTGACTTCTTGTACAACCTTTCATTTTCTCTATGAAAGTGTGGTGCCGATTAAAAATTAAGGTTTTTATATACATGTTTAACCCTTTTATGACTTCTGGTAGGGAACTAAAGTATGCAATCTTTTTTTCTAGGACTGTTCTTGTAGCTAACAATGTTTCTCTACTAAACACAGTATTATTTTATTCTTCTAGTGATATCAACATGATGATGGTTGGTGATCCTTCTGTTGCCAAGTCTCAACTGTTTCTCTACCATGGAAATCGACGATCCTCCTACTGAACCTGTACTTGATCTGTCTGCACAAAGGTGTTTTATACTGCTAGCAATCACGCAGCCTTCACCACATCTTATTCTCACTTTTTTAAAGAATTATCTCCATTTTCATTCAAATTCTTTGACCATGATCTTGCAGAATAGAAGCATTCAATTCTTTATTTGGTCAGCACATGCGTGCAAACCACTTGGATGTTAATCTTTTGCAGACATTGAGAATATCGTTAATGCTGCAGCAGATACTCGCTACAGCTGAAATAATGTTGCTCTTGCAGGTAAATAGGAACAATTTTAAATAACGAAGATACTTTGCTTTGAAGTAATTTGATCTAGGCCAGCATCTGTTACTAAGCTTTCTTAATCTTAAATTATATTGTTTGAGGGACTAATTCTTACAGTTTGAAAATTTGCAGAGACTGCAAGATGATAACAGGGCAATGATAGCTGATGGCGTGGTGCATATGACATCTTAATTCATGAGGACTATTTTAAGCAGGAACTTAACATAGGTAAAGCCGTCGTTACTTTAGTTTGATTTTTCCCCTCCCACCATGAGTGCAGCCTTTAAAATTTGGTAGAACATAAACCAACCACCGAGAAGAGGAATGCAAATTTTAAAATTAATTATTAAATATTTGTTTCATGATTTCTGTAAGCACGCCTAGAGTTTGACCTACTCCAGTCCTCGATCAGTAGTACTCTACTTTTATGAGGCCTGGTACAAGTTGAGTAAATAAAGTAAAAAAGCTTGATCTTGAGATTTTTTAAGAAACTCACATAAAAAAGTTTCGTCATGAATTTCTTTTAAGTTTTCACACTAATATGAGAAAGCATGTGTTCATGTCTTAGAATCCCGATCTTTGATGTAGTTGCAATCAAATTATTTTCGTTGTCCTCGTGCAAGAGGGCCTAAAGTAGCTTTTTTTTTTTTTTTGTTGTTTTTGTTTGGACAAAATCAAAAGAAAGAAAAATTAAGGGAGTGGAAAGTAGGGAAATTAGAGATGAAAATACTACTTTGTCCCTCCCGGTAAATTAGATTTTATTATATAATTTCATTTGTTCAATCTATTTTCAATAAATTTCAAATTTTAAATTGTTGTGGAAATTAGTTAAACAATAATAATAATAATAATATCTATATAGTAAAATATATTGTTGTGAATACTCTGTAATGTAAATTTTAATAAAGACCATTTTTGTTGGGAAAAATTGACAATAAACTACTGTCGGAATTAATTTTAAAATTTATGAAAAATAAATAGACGAAAGAAATCTAAAATGTGAGACTAAAATGCTATTATTTTTAAGGACTCGAATGAAAAATGGGATTACATGGCGCTTGTAGAGCCGCGGGAAGGAGATCCGTGCCTCGGCAATGGCCTTTCTTTCCCTTCCCAACGCCATCACTTCTTCCTTCTTCCAATCGAATTCTCAACGTCTCCATTTTTGTCCTCTCTGCAAATCCTTTCTCGCCGTTTCCTCCTCCAAGAAATTCGCCTCCATCTCCATTCTCAACTCCTACAAGGTAATTCTTGTCCCTATTCTATGCTGGATTTCAATTACTTCGACTTGTTTAGGGAGTAAAATGTCACTAGCATACTATTAGGACTACTAGACATGAGTTTCCTTTTCACTGCTCGCGTACATGATGTTGCGGAAAGGATATGAAGTCACCAGGCTTTTTTATTTTTAGGTTTTTATGAATTCTAGTGAATTATTCTAAGTTCTATTGCCTATCGGCAGATGGAAGGAAATGAAATTACGGAAGAAGTTGCAGAGAAACAAAGCGAGGACAATTTAAATGTGAAGAAAAAGATTTTTGTGGCTGGTGCATCCGGTAGTACTGGAAAAAGGATTGTGGAGCAGTTGCTGGCAAGGGGCTTTGCAGTCAAGGCCGGGGTTCGAGACGTAAGTAAGGCTAAAACTACTCTTTCCCCAGGCAATCCAGATCTTCAAATTGTAAGTTTGTCCATTAAATTTTTTCGGAATTTTATTGGGAATTTTTTTGAATTCTTTCAGTTGCAATTTAATTTTGTTAATCTTGTAACAGGTAAAAGCGGATGTGACTGAAGGCTCTGCAAAGTTGGCAGAAGCCATAGGTTCCGATTCTGAAGCTGTAATTTGTGCTACGGGGTTTCGCCGAGGATGGGACTTATTTGCGCCATGGAAGGTTTGCTTACAATGCCATTCAAATTTCTCGAATATTTTAATTCAAATCTCAACTCTTATTGCTTCGGTATTTTTCCTCCTTAACTGCCACGAAAGTTGCGTAGAAAATAGGTGTATTTTAAATTATCTGTTTTTACTTTCTTTTTAATTTTCTTAAAGGCACGACAAACTGGTCAAATATCACTCCTCCTTCCCACGAGTTCAAAATAAACCGTCTCTCGTCCGAAAATTGAAGCTAAATTCAAAAAAAAAAAAAACAAAACAAAACAAAAAAACAAAAAAACAGTTTTGCATTTTTCTTTCATAAAAAAAATACTCCTGATTCAAAAGTTACCCTTTCAAATTGAAATACATTAGAAATTTTTATGGAAATTGAGACTTGGAAAGGTGGGGCAACGATATGAAATATTGTGATGGTGTTCGGGCCTCAAATTTTTTTCATGTCTCCCTTACACAATTCTAGGTTAGAAATTTTGTCCATTTTTCTGATATTTCAAATCAGCATACTAATGCCAAGGACTAAAAATGAAGATCAGAATGTGTGTTACTATCACTCATTAAGGTTGACAATTTTTAAACCACCATGGAATTGGTCTAATAACCGATGAGATCTCATGGTGTTTTTGAATTCATAAGTGGAGTATGCAACCAACTAAATATTGAAGATCCAACGAGATTTTCAAAGTCAACATATGGTGGTTAGTCCTGTAAATTAGTTGAGGTGTGTAAGTTAATGCTTGAGCGCCCTCGATTATTAGAGATCTACATATAAATACATATTCATGCATATACACATACATGCATATGCATATATATATGGAAAAAGAAGAAAGTGAACAAATGTGCAGTTATTAGTAACTTTGTAACATCGTGAACATTCAATGTGGTGCTATTGTTATGTAAATCTCCGTATCTCTATTTGTTGTATTAATAAAGGAAAATACTCTCAAAATGTTTGTGCTACTGGCAGGTTGACAATTTTGGCACTGTAAACCTTGTTCAAGCATGCCGTGAGTTGGGCATAAACAGGTTTATTCTGATCAGTTCCATTTTAGTCAATGGAGCTGCAATGGGACAGATTCTCAACCCAGCTTATATCTTTTTAAATGTTTTGGGACTCACCTTGATTGCAAAGCTTCAGGCGGAGCAGCACATCAGGAAATCGGGTATTAACTACACAATAATAAGGCCTGGAGGTTTGAAAAATGAGCCTCCTACCGGAAATTTAGTCATGGCAGCAGAAGTAATCACAGTTTTCTCTTGTTTACCTTAATCGACCATTACTTCTCTATGACATTTAGGCGCATGACTGAATCTTGGTTGTTTTTAGGATACTCTTTATGAAGGAAGCATATCAAGAGATTTAGTTGCAGAAGTAGCTGTTGAGGCATTGGTTCATTCCCAAGCCTCTTACAAGGTTGTTGAAATAGTCTCTCGAGCCGATGCGCCAAAGCGTTCGTATGAGGATCTCTTTGGCTCCATAAAGCAGAGGTAGTCGTCTTCAGATGCCATCTTATCCTCGGAATTGAAGCGCTTGATATCTTGCTTCCCGGTGGCAGTGCCTCATTTTCCAAGCCCCCTTGGAATATTCATGCTATATTTCACTGCATTATAATATATTGTGTCTGTTAATACATTCATTTGCTAACGTTGATGTGTAGCTTACTTGCTTTGAATGAGAACATAAAGAAAAAAATTTAAGAACAGACAAAGGAAGAAGAAACGCCCTCCAGATTACAAAATTCTGATTTTTCAGCAGTAGCCACAATCTTTTTGTTTCCTGACATTGATTTTATATACAGTGGAGCACAAAGTTATCTAGTTCCATGACATGTCCAATTTAAAATACAAGGTGAAAATTAAGAAGGTTTGGGAATAGGAAGGCTTTATGGAGACGAAGGTATGTCTATTTGCTGTCAATGGAAGCAACGTCTCGCTGCTTCAGAGGTAAATTGGTACTAAAGCACTCTATACTTCTCTTCCTCTGTTACGTTTGTCCTGAATTTGATGAAGCCTTCAACTTCTCTATTTGTTTACGGAGATAAGCCTGTTTCAATTTCTCACGACGTGCTGCGGCCTGCTCTTGTCTACGAAATTTCAGCTCGGACGCCTTCTCTCTTGCTTGATTTACTTCTTCATGAACCTCCCTGAAGAAAACCAAAATCAAAATAATCAATGAGTGAGCTTCATTTCAGAACAATGTTATAATGGAAGCTGTCGCCAAGGGCTTGTTTGGTAATTGATAATTCCAAAACAGGGGAAAGAGGAGTTTTACCTCACAAAGCGCTTATGCTCGTTGTTGTCCACTATTCCAGACGTCCTCCCAAGTCCTGTTGTCTTTGAGTTAAACAAGAATGATGGCTCGGTCTCGTCTTCTGGAGTGTCCGTTTCTCGGGGTGCAGAAGCATCATGGTGTTGTGGTAGCTGTGATTCGTCCTGCTCAAGATTCTTGCGGAAAAAATCCACACAATATTTCTCCTGATCTTCCTCATCTGAGAGTTCCCCTTTCACTAGCTTGTCATATATCGCAGCCTTCTTCTCTAGTGCAGCATAGCTTACCGATCCATCCTTAATAGCTTTCAGCTCAAGTTTATCCCTGGATTTTAACAGAAATATATTAGACAACTTGTTAGCACAATTGTTTTGATCTAAACAAGGACATTAAAAAAAACGAATAATACACCAAATAATTGCTGTGGAAAAAACAAAGTCATCTCGCACGAGCATAATTTAGCATCGGTTGGCATACACTCCTTCCCTTGAGGTTGGATGTTCAAATCTCAATACGCATATACCCCTGCACATATTTCTTGTACTAAAAAAAACGCATACACACATCTAGGTAATCTCAGCATTATTACTTGAGTCTGTCAAATAATAAAAAGGACAGGAAGTAATTGAGTCTGTCAGCATTATTACCCCTGCACATACAACTGTTGTCGCTTTCATTCTTCCATTGAGCACCAATTGCCTATTTCTAAGGAAATAACAAAAAGGACAGGAAGCAGGATACGTTTAAAACACCGAGTTTGTAAGGTACCCTCCATAGGTTTTTTGGCCTAGGAAAAAGGAAGAGAGGTGAACTCTTCGTTTTCTTAGCAAAAGAGGTCATTTATCCCGCAGTGTAGTATGGCTATTTCGAGTGAAGGCAATTTTTTTTTTTTTTTTTTTTTCTGGATTTCATCCCTTCAGATTATATTCTTTGACAAACTCTTGAATTCTATCTTCCCCACCCCCATCTTGGACTAGAATTTGAAATTTGAACTTAGAATTACAAATATAGTGGACGCGTAGAAGCCAAATGTCCCACTTCCAAATAATCAGTTTGGGTACGAGCTCTTCCTAAGACTGTAACTTGGACTGGGAGCAAGGATACCCAACCTGCCTGTCGTAAAATTTTCTTTTTTGGGGAAATAGGAAAAAGGCATTACATTGATGATATGAAATGTTGCAAAAAAGAAAGAAGAGCCAAACCCCTAATCCAAGGAAGATTACAACGGAGACAAAAGGTCTTCCAATTGACAAAAAAAAAAAAAAAAAAACATTTAGACTATACAGTAACGTTTACAGATAGAGCAATACCAAAAACAGTTTCTAGAAAAATATCAAGAAGTTCTATTGTACTGTTGGAAGTTAATTTTATGTTTGAAAGTTAGGTTGTTCCATGATGTTTACAAAAGACCTTCCCAATTTACAATGAGAGAGGACAATTTACACCAAGAAATAGCGTGGTAAACCGCATTGTTGAAGAAAGCTATGATGAGGTTTTTCTATAGGCTTTTGCATTCTTGAAGGAGTGGTACGTTAAAACCGTGTCCAATAAATCCTTTGCCAACCTAGAAAAAGTGACGGCATCCGAAAATATTGAGAATCCTTGTCCAAAAGTTTTGCGCGTATGTGTATTGCATAAATAGGTGGCTTCGTGATTTGTTGTCTTTCTTGCATAATTCGTACCAACTTGGAAATAGAGTCATATAGGGCATTCTTTTTTGTAGATTTTCACTTATGCTAATGGCTTTATGTACTATTTCCTAGGAGAAAAACTTCACCTTTTTGGGTGATTTCCTTTCCATATTGTCTTTGCTAGCGTGGAGTTTATTGCTTCTACTTTTTTCCTTATATCCATCATCACGGACATTGTAGAGAAGACCTCATCAACACCAGGAAGCCATGTCAATGAGTTTGCTTCTTTAGACAATACAACTGAGGCAAGATCGAGAATTAATTTGGCTCATTCCATAGCTTCATTATCCTTTAGGTTCCTACTGAGCTTCAGCTCCCAGAAATTGTTAGACATCATTCCATGTTTCTTTGATTGTGGTTGTTTTGTTATGAGACAACCCATACAAAAATGGATACTACAAGGCTAGCGTGGTGTTTTCAATCCATGGATCAGCCCAAAAAAATGTGCTTCCTCTGTCACCCACCCTACCCTATGGCAAATTTGGTAGTGATGAGGTTTTGATATTTTTTTATGTACTTCCATGGCCCCTTTGAGGAAGTTGGAGAGAGTTGATTTATGGAGTATATTTAGCTTGTATAAGTTTTCTCACACGACATTTCCTTCGTGATGTTATCTCCATATCCATTTGGCAAAGAGAGCTTTGTTCTTCTCCTTCATTGAAAATAGACCAAATCCTCCCTTGTCTATTGGGAGATTCATGACATTCCATCGGATGGGTGTGAGCCATCTTTCCACGTATGGTTTCTAAATAATTTTTCTATATCTTTAACAGCTTTTTGTGGCATTTCGAGTGGAAGTATAACCTGATGGTCATGTTGATAGCCTTCTTTCTATTTTTTAACAATGGTCTTCCAGAAGGAGAAGGATATGTGGATTCCCTTTAAAGGTAAACCTAGGTACATATTTGGCCATTCATCCTTTTTACAACCATATTCCGTTGGCAATGTCTTCGATAATTTTATGCTAACATTGATGCCCACAATCTCTATTTTCAGGAGATTGAAATTTTGTCCAGAGAAGATTTCAAAGGTTTTTACGATCTTGATCATGTTTTTTATGGAGGAGACATGTGGTAAATTAGAGAAGAGGATTATATCGTTCGCAAATTGAAGGTGGTTGATGCTTAAGCCTTCATTACCAAACTGAAAGTCCTTCATTTGCCCTTCAAATTCAGCATGGGTGAGTAGGCAAATTTTTAGCCAAAGAATCCCCATTTTCTTCATAAAAGGATGATGATGTCAAGTCAAGATGGTAGCCAGGATACCATTTAATTTGTTAGGAAGAGTGCCACATGCCAATTTGTTAACAAAAGAACAGTGCAAAATAAGTGACCTTGTGTCTCGGTATCATTCAAAAGACACCAACCTGGAGTGAGGTTGCGTTGGATGTCTCTCTGGATTATACGTGTGGTGATACTTTCAAGGTTGAACTCCTAAAGAAATTTTTTAAAATTTTTGGGAAATTTACCATCCAATGCAAAGTCCACTAGAGAATGGAAAAGGCTCTAATTTTGTATCAGAATTGAAAAGGGAGCAAGCTTAAAACGAGCTGGGAGGCTTAAAGGGCCATTCGGAGATATCTTCCTCAATTAAGGATCTTCTGAAGATGTAATTCCAACTATGAGAGGTGATTTTCCTAAACTAAACCATATTTCCTCAATGATGATCAGAGTAAATACAGTGGCAAAATCAGATCAAAAAACATCAAATGGGGTTACCTATTACGGAATGTGGCAAGATGAGTACATCAGTCCATCATCCATGTTGCTGTATAGAAAAAGGACTTGCCTCACATCCTCTAAATATTTGGCTCTAAAATGACAAGTTATTAATGCCATGCATCGATGAAATGTTCAGACACTTTCCCTTGACAGATGAAATTAGGATACTTTTAGCTCTTCATTCTGCAAACAGGCAGGATCAGGTCCATTTTTAGTTGGGGAGGTAGAGTAACTTGGTAATACTTTCATGAACTTTTCCATTAGCAGCGGAATTCGGACAAATGTTTAAAGCACTCATAGCAGAGGGACAAGCTTCGAAGTTCTAAATTTTCACTTGATACACAAGACTAAGGCTCTTGTTATAAATTAGTTGAGCTTGTAGGCGCATATGAATTACTGCATCTCTCTTTATACAGAGGAAACCATTCATTTGATTCAGGTATGTTCTTTCAGCCTCACATGAATCAATTCCATTCTCGCTTTGTATCTAAAGTGAAAAGCTATTAGAAAAACAAATCCAACGCAATCTTCGATGCTCGTAGACCCCAAACTCCAATGACCAAATCCTAACAGACACTCACAAATTCAACCACAACAATTAAAATAGGAAATCATAAAAGAAGAAATCAAAAGCATACTTGAGAGCGCGGGCCTCGACGCCGGAATTGTGGGAGGAGAGAAGGTCTTTGGTAGTAATCTTCTTCTTTGCACGGTGGAACTCGACGTCGGGGCCAGCCAATTCCTTGGACTTTTTGGACTCTTCTTGAGACTTGTAGAGGTGAGCCTTGAGCTCCATGATTGAAGATGCGCCGACACCAGCTATGGCCTTGTGCTTTTTCGGCATGATCGAAGACTCCGTCAGCCATCCCAGCGATTCTACAACCACCCTCTTCTTCTTTCCCTCCTCTCCCATCTTCTTCAGTAATGAAAGAGCAATCGAAGAAAGAAAATATGAGGAATTCAGATGCCCTATTGTTTAGATTCTTCTTCTCTGCGAAGTCGGAGATGAAACCGATCGTGCTCGCCCTTTCAATCCGTACCTTCTGGTGTGACTCAATACGGTTTATTGGTTGCCGATGATTCGGGCCGGATGTGGAACT